ATTAAAGCAAAACGTTCAGGTTTACATTCATTTTAAAGCTTAGACATTCAGCTTTTCAACGGTGGGTTGTTTCGTAAATATAATCCAGAAGTTCGTGAATAATAATATTTTAAGTGATTGCGATTGGAGAGTAAAAAATTTGAGATGCAATAACAAACCGGTACTTGATGAAAATAACTTATTTTGTCAACAAAACGAGCAAATTGAGGCATTTTGGCAATTGGTTGTAAAAATCAAGTAATAATGGCTTCGAATACACTATTTTAAATTCACTTGCTGACTTCAAATGCGTTATAATACCGGCTGAAGCGTGTTTTAGCTTGCTGTCAACTTGCTAATTTATATTTACATTACGGCCCGATTCGATGGTGCTCGTTCGGACGATGCGTGGACATAAGGTTGTTTTGATGATTTCTGGAAATAATATAGCATTTTGAAATAAATAAAACTACCTAATCTCTTTTAGAATGTTTTTAACAAGTTCTTACTAGTTTTTCCGATGTGGCAACAAGAACATTAAAGTTTGAACAAGAAAATTCAAACATTGCAACCGCCTATGGAATAACACAGTAAATTTGTATAATTAAGCGGCATCTAAACATGATAGGTTTACTGAATTTTCTCCTGTGCATTTATTACTTGCACTAAAGACACGGATGACCATTTGGTCAAAAGATAAATGAACAGGCTTTAAAATAAGCCTAAAACCGTTTTATTAGAAGTAGCAGTCCGAAAGTTATTAAGCACAAAAGTTGGACTCCGTTTTTTTTATACACCTTGTATATACATAAATATATATATATACATATATATACATATATACACATATATATACATATATACACATATATATATATATATATATATAAGTAGTAATATGAGGGGCTTAATACACCCCGTTTATGCGCATAATTAATAATTCATGAGTTATGCAAATTAATTAGCATAACTGATGACGTATATTTCCGGTGATTTTCCGATGACGATAAAACAACGAGGGCTTTCCGATTAGCCGCCATTTTGTTTCAAGATGGCTGAAGAGTTAATTTGTGATGTTTTAAAGGAAAATAACGTGAAATTAAGCAAAAATAGTTTTAGTTTTTATTTAAAAGTGTTTTTGGAAAAGCATGAAGGTTTATTTGAAAGCATGATAGCTCATATTGGAAGAGAGAACGTGCTTGAAAATTTGTGTGTGATCTATCAAGAGTTACAGCCTTCAAATTTTGGTAGAATTATGGCTTACTTGACTTTAGTTTACAAAGTCAGTGATTTTTGTGATCCTGAAATTGTGCAAGAAGCTGTAAGAATCTGGGTATGGGATTTAAAACAAGTGGATATAGCTAGCTTTGAAATAAAACAGTCTTGGGCAAGGCGCTTGATTTCATGGTTGCTACATAGAAAGCGTTAGCAACAGCCTGAATTTGAATATCACTAATCCCTAAAAAGTCATTAAGAAGTCATTAACTGTTGTATATCACACGGAGAAAGTAAAAGCTAACGTTTTTGAAATAAAACGCTCTTGGATTGTTGCTTCAGTAAACTCTTTTAGCATTTGATGGTTCTTAAAAGAACCTTTTTTTTTTCTTCTTTTTTTTTGTATTTCTCTTTTATTTCTTTATCCTGGCGAAATTTGAATATCACTAATCCGGGTTGAATAGCAAAAGTCATTAACTGTTGTACATGGCTGAACACATTGTACTTTTACGACATTGCCTGGGCCTGTCTATGCTGACCTTGCAAGAAACGGATAGTTGATTCTGCTTTTTTCATATTGGATTATTGCTTGTTATTTGTATGTCAAAGAGGGATTGAACAGAAATATTATACCGAAGGCAAAGCAATGGAAATCCATTTCAGAAAGTGTCAACGATGTGAAGAATTTGGCCCGAACAATACAAAATTACCACTTCATTATACAAGAAGAGAAAGTACGCTAGATTTTGAGGATTTTAGATGCGATAGATGTTTGTTTGAAATGGATTGACCAATGTTTTATGTACAACAAATAATACAAATGTGGAACATAACTTGTGAACGTGATAAATGTACTGAACCGGCAAACTTTTATAATTGTGGGGGGGGAGTTTGTATGTTGTATTTGTTACATGCGAACATATTGTCATATTCATTGTGTATGTAATATTCCATGTAAATGTAGAGACGATGATTGCGTTGAAACATTAGCAAAAACTAGCAAAATGTCTTATTATTAAATTTATTACAAATGTGTTGAACCAGTTTTAAAAATGTAATTTTAAAAGGAGAAAAATAGTAAAATTAGTGCGGTCATTAAACTTTAAATACTTAGAGCACCATCAGTTCGTTTTCGTTTGCTTCGGGGTCAGGCAAAACCGAAGCAGCTGTTGATAAGAGAAAGTTTCTTATAAGAAGGCTTTTAAAGCGTTACGCTTTGGCCCGAAAACTGCAAAAAGTACAAATATTCTTACGTAGACTCTAACTCTACCATTGCCTACAAAGGCGGACATTATGAAAAAGACTTACTGAACAGTCTCAGTATTCAAATGATGCCTAAAATACACCAACAGTTTTGAAATATATTGCTAAGCACCCGTGCCTTCGTGCCCACACAGCTAATTGCCCGTACCCAGTCCCAGATAGAGTTATGCATACGCGGCCGCACGCACATGTTATTTAAATTTCTCTTCTTTGCTGTGCCACGAAAATATCTGTCGCGTTTAAAAGGTTTTATTCATGTCGTCGAAAAAAAAGAAGAGACCGTCGGGGATGTTTGACTTCGGTAATGTTCTATCGAAGTTCGAAGACGAGAAAAGAAACCTCGATGCTATTCGCGAGCGGTTAAAAGCTGTGAATGAAATTGACCTAAGGCGATTGTTGTCGGACGCGTGTGTTTTGATGGAGGACGAAGCCCTTCAGTTATTAGCTTCAAAACTTTCATTTGAAGGGCTGTTGAATCTGTGTGACGCCGTTCGACACGTTCCGAAGAATATTCCGTGTGTTGTGAATGGTATCTTTTGCGATATAGTTTTATATTTAAACTTTTCGAGAGTTTGCCTTCACAACATTTGGTGATGTCGATGGCGGAGTTCCAGATGTATGTGAAGTTTGCGGAAACGTGCTGCCCCAACTTTATCGCCGAGAAGAAAGCATCCGATCATCTATGGAAGCTCACGCAAACGGAGGACTTGCCGTTCAATAAATTTCTCACACCCCCTGTAGCCAGATGCTTTCAGTGTCAGAAAGATCTGACTGTAAGAAATAACCCGTCGAAAGCTAAAGTGTTCACGTTGGATGGACCCATACCATGCACAAAAGTTACGCTGGAATGTAGATGTTGCTCGTATGTTTATGGAATCTGCAATTATAGTGACGGATCGGGTTCTCACTTTTACCCAAAGTCTGATGAATATGATGTTGAGCTTATCGAAGTGAGCAATGTCACATATTTTGACGCGAAACTATACAAGTGGTTTCCTTCATTAAGGTGAGGAAACCCTTATTTATCCACAATTATAAAATTAATATTTAGATATAAAGAATACTAATAACAAATTTTTGATTTACACTTTAGTGGACACAAAATCTATATGACTAAATTATATTCAGTATAGATTTAAAGTTTGTTCGTTCACTGCAACCAGGTATATCCATCGTGTTTCGCTCGCTGTATGTACTTACTCTGTGGCCCGAGTAATAAATTTATATTAGTGTTTACATGATAACTTGGTCAACCCTTTCAGACCCCGACAACGTGGGGCACACTTCTCGAGACCTGGGTTGGCTTGACCCAGGCTCATGCAAAGTCAAACTGGTATATAAACTGTAGAAGCACATTCAAATAAAATGAAGTTCAAATGACAATGTCTTTCAACAAAATACAGTATCCCCCAATATGTCAAAATTTATTTAACAAAATTTATTTGGATCAATCTATATATAAACATGCAAAGGAGCAAATATTTACATAGTAAAATGTGTCATCACTTATTTATGCATGCCATTTGAAGCTAAGGAAGGTCGCTTTAGAACAAGTACACCAATGTGGCTTAAATATGGTTGATGGTAGACTAGTGTTGACGCCAAACCAGGTTCATGTAAACATGATAAAAGAACAAGCCCCATGAGGTGAGCCCAGGCTTATGCGAGGGCTTGTGGAAACTGGGCCACACTTTACTTGTCTAATGCCAAATAATATTAGTTGGTCCAAAGGTGTATTGATACCACAAATTGTTTACTAACATTGGTTATCATCTTTCATTAAAGTAATCACTGTTGGGTTTCATTCAGTGGTTTTGCTGAAGCCTTCAATGATACCTATGAGGATGAAGTTAGGCAGTATGGCAGGTGCATAATTGAAAAAAAAGATGATGGACTTGTTGAAGGTAAATGTTTAAAACAGTATTTAGGATTTGTTTCTTTGTAGGTTTCCATGACGATAAAACTTTTTTTTCTGGAAACACCATGTAAATTTATTACTGCAAAGGTTTTGATCCATATTGCCCGGATCTTCATCAGTGCTAATATTATATGCGACTTGTTCAATTCTGGAAATTATTAATATACTGGTACATACTTACAGATGAATTGCCTGAGCCCTAATGAGTTCTTTGTTATGTAGTCTTCAAAAAGCATGTCTATGCATTCCTGGCAGGCAAATTGTACTTTGAATAAAGTTTACAATGTGTACCCCCGTCTATTTGAAAATGACATGAAACTAATTGCTAGTTAAAAATTTCTTGGTTAGCCAAGAGAGTTAAGTTTAATTAATATAACTGCTGGATAAATGGGTTGTTTATACGGGACAAAATAAGTTGCAACTTAGGCTATGTGCACACAGGCGTCGTTTTGCAGCGTTTTCAAAAACGTTTTTGTCCGTAAAATCGTTTTGACGCCGTATTCGCACAGCCCAAAGGAAAATATCTCGGATATATTAAATAAACTACAACTTCTGTTGTAAGTTGATAGTGTTTGTATCCGTTTTAGCGTGAAAACACAAATGAAAACGCTCGAAAACGTACCGTGTGCACATAGTCTTACATAAGAATCATCTTATATAAGTGGAGGTATTATTGACCACTGATTAGTTGAATCGGGGGTCGGCTATTTTGCGAGCTGCGAGTTGCTATCCTCGCTTTGAATTAGGCTTTGAAAGTATATTAATATGGACGACATGGAAGGGAAAGTCGAAGGGTTTTTTGTTTCATAAATATAATGACCTTCGAAGTTAAGGTCCCTGTAACTAAGACTTCGACACAAAAGAAAATGCTACGATACGGACGAGATAAAAATCGGCCTTTACTTGTTTTTTTACTTTGTTAGATCCATCGATACGTATGTTCAAGAATTAAAATAATTATATTGAAAATAAAAGTGCAAGTTTATATTTGCCGCTTCTGTGTTTAATAAAATCTAGTAGTTATCCAGACCATTTTGTGCTGTCTAATCTTAAAATGGTTATTTAATTTTATTAGTAAGTATGACCAGACACCGACTCAGTTTGTTTATATATACTGAACGCTGGGAACCCTATAAAACTCAAGTCCTTTTCATCGGAAGTACAATTTATTTTATACAATTTATACATAGACATACATATACATACATAAACTTTATCTCAACACGGGAAATATATATCAGTATATCAAAACGATTGCTATTTACAAGTTTGTAAGTATAAAAATAAATGCAATGAATGTTTATTTCAAAAGCTGAAAATTGGCGCCAAATTGAGACAAAGCTAAAATCACATCCGCCAGGATGCCATACAGTTTTCAATTTGAATTTTTAGTGTAAACCACAGGTGTAAACACCTGGTTCGGTGCTTCAAAGCTAGGTTAATGCTAACCCTGGGTTAAAATTAAACCCGATGTTATTAGAAATTAACAATATACTCGTAACTCGCAACTCGCAGCTTAGATAATCTCATTGAATCGCTAATCAGCTATTTTAGCGATTGGCTCATTCCTAGTTTTTGTTTTACGCAAGGCTAATAATTTTACTTTGTTTCAAGTTTTGGGCATGTGCATTTAGACCTTTTATCCAAAATATCTTATTTAATTAAAGACGCGACTTAAATAAGAACAGCTAAAAATCTTGTTCTTATTTAAGTCGAGTAATAAGAAATGGGTTTGTTGTTGATAAAATTCTTAAGAAAAAGGGCTTTTTAGTTGTTTATAATTGTATATTGCAGGATGGCAAGTGCACAATATTCTATATTTTTTTAATCAAAATCATTTCTCAATGTCCTAATATCCTGTTGACAAGTAAGTATGAGTTAAACCTGTGACTTATGCTGTTTTCGGTGTTTTAGATGAGCCTGATTTGATGGAAAATGAGAATTCTCTGGAAAACTTAGATTTAAATATAGGTAGGTTTTTGCCAGTGGCACCATTAATTGTTCAAAGTCATGGTTAGAGTAATTAGCAAGTGTGTAAATTTTCCCAATGTAATATGCTTCCAATTTTTTATGTTATTAAATTAAATTGCCAAACATTTTGTTTTAAATTAATAGGTGTTTTGCCAGGTGAAATGTCACCAAAAGCAATTTCTCAGTGCTTTTGGCATAGAGAAGTAGAAGAAGAGCTTGCTTGTCATGGTTTGAGAGAAGATTGGTCATTCTCCAAGACACCTGGTCCAACTAGTGGAACATACAATAATGCGATGCAGATGATCGACAAAAAACGTTGCGAACAGTTGTATATGCATGACTGCTCAGATCACTGTAAAAGTAAAGGTAGGTAGTATACTGTATACTGCATGTAATTAATTATATTAAAGCCTAAAATGTGAGAGTTTAGGATTATAAATAGGCATATTCAAACATCAAATTATTTGCTGGGCAATATTTTTGTCTAGATTTATAATTATCTATAAATAAATAAATAAAAATCTCAATCTGCTCAGGCAATCATATTTATGGGCCAATTGAGCCATTAGAGACTTAAGATAGTATACAATATTGCTGTTACAATTTAAAACTGCTTGAAGGAAGGCTCACTATCACACTAAAAATAACTATCTTCAAAATCAAACCTAGCAGTATTCAAACTTGACTGAAGGTCTTTATTAGATGAAAACCATTTGAGTAGGATAACTTTGTCAATGTAGCATTTGCTGTACCATGTTCAATGTGATGTCAACTAATTAAGCAGTGTTACATTAATTTTTAGGATGTGGGCAATTATATGTGGCAGATGGGAATTGGAAGCTCCGATATGCCCACTGTATGTGGAAAGTTCCAGTGCAAATAAGTGGTTTTGGGAAGATAAATTATCCATCCGTTTGCCCCCTCTCTCCAAAACGGGGTCACGCTTTTTGCGAAACTCACTGTGTAAAAGCAAATCAATTTGGTTTCCCAAGTGAGTTGAGAAAATTTTACAACAGTTGCGGTGTCAGTGATGGAAATATCAATAAAGGTTAGTGATACCAAATATATAGAAACAATTTAAATGTGTCAAGACTCTCGCTATAGGGGGATGTGTGTGGGGTGTGACACCTTCCTGAAAACATCTTGTCGGCAAAATAACTTATTGGCAAATTGTTGTTGTAGTTGGCAAAAATAGCAGTTGGAATTTGAGTAGCTCTGATTAATTAAACAGTATGATAAATTTACTAAAATATTACCGAAAAATTACAAAGAATGCTTGCCAACAATTTTAGGAAAAGAAATATTAATTAGCGACTGAATTGTTGTAACAAATGCGATACTACACCCCTGCTTTAGCCTTTTTTCTACGGCCCTGCTTGGTGTGTCATGTTAAAATACTAAGTTGACATTAATTAATCATCTTTGTAGCTCTGGAAGAGATGTCATCACAGGCATTGTTGACAGGTAATTAAATTGAGCATATATTTAACCAAATATAGATTTACACACAAGAAGTTGTTTTACCACATCCTGTGCTGGAAATTTCATCACTAAAGCCAGTTTTCCACTAGGCAGAATTTTGCACGCGGAGCGGAATTTTTCTGTGTCTTTTCTAATTAGTTGCATCCAAGAATTCACAAGATAAAGAAAAATTCCGCTCCACGCACAAATTTCCGCCTAATGGAAAACCAGCTTAACATATGCTGTACATAGCCTGTAGTACTTTATTTTGGATAGAGAATATTTATGATACTTTTAATTGCTAATATGTAACATGATATTTTTCAGAATCTTCCTATCAATCAGTTTCTAACTGTCTGGATGAATTTGCTATGCAAATGGTTGATGAAGAGGCAGTTAATGCTTCCACATTTCAAGGCACAGTATTGTATATTGAATGTTATTTTGTGAATATACTTGTGTTAAATGAAGATTTCTCACCAGATTTTGGGAAACATTCAAGAATATATATCGGAATGAGATTCATTGAAGGAATGTTAAATCCTTTTGTATAGCTGTTTAGGCAAACTTGCCAAATGGTTTTGGGTTCCAGTCATGACGTATCAAAAGGCATTACTATTTACATTTGATGGGTGTTGTTGATGGAAATTGTTGAGAGGAACAGCTGCGAAAAATGCAACTTTAGGTCCCTGGCAAAAATCGAACCTGCGGCCCTGTGATGGCCCTACAATACCATCAAATATTCATTTGAGTGAGATGTCAACAACATCAGGTATTGCACAAGCATGCTGTGGATCTCGGATAGACACAAACAGAAGAAAGTTATACTGCATTGAAAAATTTAGGCAACCCTGACAATATTACTAATGAGTTACAAACCTGGCGATGTGTTTCTTGTAGTTATTGTTAGATGTGTTATAAATATTTTTGCATGGTTATGATTGAAATATTTTGTGTGTGCATTGATGATTTTTAGGGACAGCAGAATTTCTTACAACCAACCCTGGATTCGTTGCAGACCAGTCATTGGTGGAAGATACGTCTTGCAACAAGGATACTGGTGGGTTGAAAGCATTCCACTGCTGGTCGAGAGGAGTATTTGTCATAGTCAGTGCTGGAGGACACATTGAATATTGGCAACCACTCTACAGGTATAAATGCTGATTCTGTATGTTAAGTTGTAGTACATGTTAATGACTTCCAGTTTGTGTTTTATGGATCAATTCAACAATTTGCTTATATGTAATTAGTCTACTTTAAATTGTTATAAATTATGACATGGATGGATTTTACTTGGGGGGGGGGGAGGGGAGGGGGTACATACACCCCTAGCCCTGGCCAGAAGGTGTGTGCTATTTTTCATGATGAAGCAAAAAAAAATATTAGAGACAAAATGAGATACAGTAATTTGAGTAATAACATGATGGTAAGCGAACTGTGACAACAATTACAATTCAAATACAGTAGTCAAGCAATACTTTGCAGTAGTCAAGCAAGTTGATGGGCATGTAGCCTGCGTGGCAGGCCCTCAATTTTATGGGGGGGCCTGATTTGTGGGCAGGATTTTAATCCTGCCCGCTGCAAATCAGGCCCTCCATAGAATTGAGCGCCTGCCATGCAGGCTAATGGGCAGGCGGCGCACATGACTGATACAACTCGGTACCTGAGCTGGCAGAGCACACCCCCCCCCCCACCCACCAGATCATGCTGGATCCATCCCTAAATTACGAGGCTGTCAGGTTTGTTTTAATTGATTACATGTATGTGGTTTATCAGCTTTGTCTTAGCAACCGTTCATAATTTACTTAGTGTGAAGAGGCTATGGTGATTTTAAATTATTAGCATGAGTGTGTGACGTCTTTTGGAAGTCCTCCCACATGTTTGTGATAAATTTTTTCACTCCAATAAGAGTGAATTGTTATGACTCAATTAGTTTCTGAATCCGTATATAGTTGGATTATCAATAGATTGGAAACTTAATGGAGAGACCAGCTTAATAAATGTATTCATTTAGAGGGAGGGGGGATATTGCTTGGGGAGCATATTTTATAAAGGGAGGGGTTGGATGGAGAATACTGTACAAGTTGCATGTGAAATATGTGAAATAAATTTGTTCTTCAGATCTGAGTCTCCAACCCAAGCCTTTCTGGTTACGATGCTGTGGCTGTATCGGAAATTTAAGATTATGCAAGAAGAAGGGCACTGTGATGAGTCAATCCGTGAAGCAATATCGTCTGTTTGTTTATCATATGACAACATGTGTCACATGGATAGTCTAATTATTGCAAGAGATGATCTACCACTTCCAAAGCCATTTAATGAAGCTTGGAAATTGATATCCAAAGTGATAGACAGGCTGCACCTCAGAAACCACGTTGACAAGAAGTGCCAAAAGCTTTATAATCCTGACGACAAATTACCAAAGAATTTTAACACTATGGCATGCGAGCAAACATTTATCTGGGCTAGTCGATTTAAGAAGGTGATTTGTGCCATGCCACAAATCCATCAATTTTTCTTTTTGCACAGGCTGGTCAAATATCGGAACAAGTATACGGAGAAATGTCACCTCCATAGCAAAACACCAGTTCTCCCCAAACTGGGAAAAGCTGCCATCCATTAAATTGACTGAGGGAAGCAGCCTTCCTTAATGAGCAGTGGGACGTGGATATTCGGAGCAGCCATAAAAAGTTTTGAATAAAGTTAAAGTTGTAAATAGAAAATAGAAATGCACGGGTGTAAATATGTATGATTTATTATAAATTATAAAACAATATTAAAACCAAAAATTTCACTGACTGAGGATTGTGTGACATCATGAAAGAGCATAACTACACAAAAAATGGTCAAATTTGTAATGTTTAATTAGTAATACCCAGAATTATAGTCTAACCACAATGCAAAACGCTTTTGGAGCAAGATTTCCCGGTCTCAATCCTGTCAAAGTACAATTGCGCACCCGTAAAGTATAAGCATAGTGTTCAGAGGCCGGTTGTATAAAACTTTAGTTAAATAGTGATTAACTCTTAAATACACGCTTCTTATTGGATGGCGTTACGTTTCCACTAACTATAGTTAACTTTAATCACTTTTTTATACAACCGGCCCCAGGCATTCAAATTCTAACAATAGGTTAATGTACAAAAGGTATCTTTTTTTATACACCCTGTAGATCACAGATGACGTTATAGCGTGTAAAAGCTCGGCTCGTGTCGTACTTTTTTGTACGCTATGACGTCGTCTGTGACTATTACAGTACAGACGCACAGAAAAATGTATTAAATAACAAAACCTTGCTTTATGTTAATAACGTTTACAAAAAGACGCTTTGCCGGCTTGCTTAGGCAGGGCTGTTGACGTTTCACTGTTATTAAGTTATTTGCAATTTTTGCAAAGAAAGTTGGCTTCCACACAAATGGCTTCTGTAAAGGCATACCCAGCACACTTGAAATGTTGCCATTGCTCACACTTTGTACACCGCATCGTACCCGACCTTTTCTTCTTTTTGCAAAGGTTGCATTTTAATTTGTTATCACCACTGTCTTGCGACCTCCTCTTTTTTGATGATATATGTGGTACTTCGTCATCTGTTTATACAAAGAAAGTCAAGACGTGTATAGACGTTTGCTGCTAGTTTTCACAGTAGCTGCTGGCAATCTCATTGTAAAGTTGTACTAATTTTATGTTGTTAATGAATGGCAATGATTGGCATAAGGACGAGCATAGATTAATAATTATGATTATATATATATATATATTATATATATATATTTGTATTTCTCAGCTTGTTAATATTATTGACACTACCTACACTGGCACAGACAGTTCAATCAAGGTTATATACATTCATACCTTTTTGTGTGTCATTGGTTTCATCTCCAAGACCTATTAGAAATACAATATTTGGCAGAAGTTACATACATGATGGAATTACAAGTCGTACTAAAACTTTAATCAGATCTTACCAGAATCATTAAGACAATCAACATTAGAGGTGACTGGTGTCTGGGCTGGTGAAGTTCTTTGACAATCTAAATTACATTGATAAAAATATGTTATTTTCAATCAATCAACTGGAAAGTATTGTTTTGTGAGAACTATAGATAAAATGAACACCAACCCAGAGCAGCATCGTTGATCGAATCAGCAACAATACTGGATCCACTCGTGCTTGGATGGTAGCAAACAGTGGGTTGGTTGTGTGGCTTCGCTTTACTTGCTTTACTTAATTTTTTTGACTCTTCTAGTTCAGATTTGGCATCAACTAGGTCGTTGTTTAACTTGAGTAACTTTCCTTCCATATCTTCCTTCATTTTGACAGTCGTTACTAAGTCTTTTTGCAAACCTTTAATTTGCTCTTGGCACCGATCAAGCTCTTCCTCGTTCTTTGTTTTGCACAGCTTAAGTTCCATCTCTAGAGCTGCACAATTAGCACAGGACTCCTCGCCACTTTCGACCTCGTCCTGGACGATGTTGAAAACTAAATAAAAACAAGATTAGTTTAACTATATATACATAATCTCATATATATTTCGCTTATCTCAAAATTCGGCAACAGTCTGTTTCATCTGTAAAGAATCTGTAAAGAATCATGATGATTCTTTACAGATGATGATTCTTTACAGGTGAAATAGACTGTTGCGGAATTTTGAGGTAAGCGAAATTCTATTATATAATATATATAGGATGCAGTCCAACTAATAAATTAGGTACATACACCCATCAATTTGTTGCAAGATACTCGTGCTCAGTGCTGTTCTTGGAATTCGAACGCAGCTGATCTTCTTGGGGTGATCTTTAAATGTCGACTTGAAATCTGAGCTGCCACCAACGCTGGTAATCAGGTCTCGTACATTCCTATCGGTTGGAGGCGAAAGGCTAGCTTTTGAAATTTCCAATAATGCTTTCGGTAGAATGAATGCAACGAACTCGGTTTTGTCCAGCTTTGCGACGACTGTTGGTCTCATCCACGTCCTAAGCTAAAATGGAAAAAAAACAAACGTAACAAATGGAAATACAAATAAAAGATTTTTCTTCAAAAATACCCTTTTAATACAACTTACATCGGATTCGTTCCTTTCATTTGATACAATGGCTTGGACCAACAGCTTCATGACATCCTCGAGATTGGTATGCACTTTTACCGTTGTAGCGTATAGCAACTTGACGTGTGGTAAAAAATTTGCTTCGATGTAGTCGTCAAAGGCTTGCGCGTTAAGGACTGCTTCATTGTCTACCAAACTTATTATCTGAAATATTAAAGAATGTTGTACATCAATAGTTACTTCAAGATAAGACAGAATTTAGTTATCAGAGCTCTCGGGAGAATCTAGATAGAATAGAATATCATTCAAGTGTGATTTCTGCACTCACAGATGTTTAATATATAGTTCTATATGATGACTGATGCAGAAAATGTTCTCAAGTGAATATTTGTCACACACATATATGCACTTGAGAACAATATTACCAAGTGAACAACATCGCCATATACATCATATGACATATATAATTATATAAGTTGTCGAGATTTGCTCTATCTATATGACAGGCAAAATATTTCCACGGTAACAAAATGAAATTTTATTGAATTTTAAACTTATTTTAGTCATTTTTATGCCTATTACCACTAACTATATTGGGCCTCCTATATGTTTAGATGGTAATGAGCATCGATTTCATTACCTCGTGTGCGAACAGCCGATAAAGTGAGTATATTTCAGGTAGCCTTGGAGACATCCCTGTCAGTTGATTCCTAAAATAATCCATATGTTTGGCGAGGTTAGCAGAATTAATGCACTGACTCATCCGTATTATATCTGGTAGCGCATGAGTGGATGCCAAGGCGAAGATGTCTGTTTTAGCGGTGAGGAAATCTAAAGCAACCTCCGTGCCGTCCATCACCAGTTTCTGGAAGTAGATAGGCGTCGTCCTTTCGAATGATCTATATATCAGATTTAAAGAAGAATAAACATAATTGACTATAAAGAAAATGAATTACATTGATTCATTGACTGCATGGCTACCAAGCTTTCATGGTTAATAACCTGATGGCTAATCGGAAATTATGTAGACAAGCAAAATTTCTGGTCCGTAGAGTAAATATATCAAATTCGACAGGCATTTTGAGATGCAAGAAGAAAATTACTATAATTTGTGAGGGAAAATACTGTGTATTTTCTTTTTGTATACTGTTCTCCCACAACTGAAATTGTAAAGATTAGCACTTGCTCTACATTTTTAAACAGCTCTTTAATGTAAATGAAGTTATTATTTTCGTATGAAGTTATTACATATGAACACAAATGCTTTGTTATAAAGGATTCATGGCGTCAAATAACAACACTATGTCGCATTTTATTCTTATCAGTTCACTGAGTCTGAAATCTAGTTTATAGTGAACAGCTAAGCCTAAGAATGGAATTAATAAGGCATCATATCAATACCTTAGGTCATCGTCCAATGTAAAGTTCACTGTTAACAGAAACGACGTTTTCGGTTTCTCATCTCCTCGTGCTTGTGTTTGGTTGCCGAGACCATTGAAAACTGACATTAATGGCTGGCGAACACAGGTGGCATATGTTGGGTCATCCCAGCAAACAGGAATAGTTGTAACGGTCAAATTCGAAACAACAAATTCACCAGATGACTGGGACACAATGTGCATACCCATCAACTTTCTCACAAGGCGCATAGCTGTCGATTTTCCACAGGATGGTGCACCGATGCCTACAGGTACTGGGCATGATTCTAAAGCTAAGAATACAGTAATACATATATTAACATTGCATGCATAATATTCAATATTCATTGCCATTGTCCGGAAAATTTACAAGAATCAGGACGCACTAAGTAAGCAATTTAGTTTCAATTTAATTTCTACTGTATGCATGGTCTTATGGAAGATATACAGCTATTTCAATTAAGGTTGTCCCCCGAGCAAAGCGGCGGAAAAGTCGAATACAAGCACGAAAGCCTGCAGGGAATCGCTAATAAATGAATGAATTGATTAGCGATTCTCAGCAGCCTTTCGGGCTCATATTCGACTTTTCCGCTTTGCTCGGGGGACAACCTTAATTGAAATAGCTGTATATATAAATTGGAATGTTGGCTTTTTAAATTCTGGAATGTTGGCAATTTAATTTTAAATTCTGCATTTCTCCCCCTAAACTATTTCGAAAATTGAAATCCTAACCCTAAAAGTAAAGTTGTGACATAAAGAAAAAGTTCGTGACAACTTGAACAACTTGGTTTTGTTTGACAAAGCCACAAACTCCCAATTTCATGTTGACCACACTCCAGTTGTTAGCTCAGAAGTCAGAACGTCTTAACCATTGCAGCTTGGGCTTGGCTAGACTTGCGTGTTCTTAAGTAATTATTATTTTGCAAATGTCAGTTGACCACAATTACGATAAACATTTGAAAAGGCACTTACATTCCAACTTGATGATTTTTTGGTAATGGAATAGACCAATACCACCGCACAGTAACATAATAAATTGCATGAAATTCGTTTTGAAGAAGGTCTTCGCGCGTGCGAAATAAATGATTCCCAATTGAATATACGTAACTGAATTTCTATTGGAACCGGGTTAGCTTTAAGAAATGGGATAATAGTCCTGTCCACCGACGACATAGCGTTAAGAAAAGGCACCATCCATCTGTGCGTCCAATTGTCCTTTGGAATTACCCCATCCTTTTTTCATCTGTAAGCAAAAAACGTGGTCTTTATAAAGCAAACTTTTCAACAACTTCTTACGTACATGCTCATGCATTGTCATGTATCTCATGCAGTAACAGTGCATGGAGCTGGAAAATTATTCGTAAGGATCGCAGTTGCTGGTCGTTCACCTTCTCCCAAAAAACTCCACCTTTGTCACTGAACGTTCTATTGATTGCAGCTTTAAATGATTTTGCCATCTCCATTTCGTTAACAGTGACGAAACATTCCCTATAACAATTAACGCACCATATGTGAAAAACGTGAAAAAATTTTCGCACAAGATATTCAATATTTGCATCACTACCTTAATTCATAAATTTTTGCTGTGATTTTTTTGCAAGGCCGTGCAGTTGGTTAGCACGCTCAAAATTAATTAAGTAATTCAGTATTGTTGCCAAACTTTTTTGCTTTCGTTTATATCTATTACATACCTTACGCTGTATATATTCCAGTGTTAAAAGTATAGTTATATTTCATAGTTATACTGGGTGTATAAAAAAAGTGATCCAACTTTGACATGTAAAAAGTGGGTCGAAAAATGCTCTAAATTTCCAGTTTTCGCGCAAACACTGCTTTTGCTAAATAATTTCTGTTTTACCAAAACGGGTACAAAATGTTATGACGCAATTGTAAAGGAAACCTTAATTATATGCATAAAACACCAAACTAGAAATAGTTTACACTACAACTGCCTCCGGCTGATTATGGTGTACTGTTATTGAAAATTATCATGCCTTATGGTTTATAAATATTAATGCGACAAAATGATGACTCCTTTTTTTCAAAAAGCTTAGAAGGTTGATAAAATTGGACAAACAGATTATGAAGTCGGCAAGTGTTGTGGGGCAAGTGTGGGGGCACGTTTTTTGTCAGATTATTAGGTGTTTTATATGCATTTTTATTTAGACGTGCGTATAGTTCAGTCTTAAATCGTAATTAAGTAAATAAGTTTTTAAATGTAAATAATGTAAAGTGCCATTGGTTTACTAGAAGAAATGGCGCTATATAGGCTAAATGATTAAATATTATTATTATTATGCATGTAATTAAGGTTTCCTTTAATTGCGTCATAACATATTTTTTTACTTACTTTTCATTCCGGTTTGACTTCGTCCCGGTCTCATGTAAGGACAGATAAATAATTGTATATGATCGTTTCTGGCCGATCCAACATGTCGAATATTCGCAAAGAGCTTGCCAAGACATTCGTGTAGTTTATTTTGGACTCGCAATTATAGTTTTGTATTATTTCTAAGTAAATTATGATCGTGCCTGAATTCCGTGCATTTTCTTACTTTGCACATGTCAATCATTTGCAAGCCAGGAACTTCCCCTGTCCACACACCTTGGGCGCATGTTTGGGGCAAAAGCTAAGCTCATATTCTCTCCACAAAAGCACATTGTGCCGCAAAAACCCATTCAAAATTTACACATGTATCATATATCGGTCCATGTATAATCGCCCCATTTCATTACAGAATTGAGTCAACTGGCGAAATCATTTCCTACACTGTTACACACAGTTTATATAGTCATGTGACTCATGTAGAGGTTGGTCACAGAGAACTGTGTTAAGCGCATAGGCATAGCTCAATACGGTAATTTCGTTTATATTTGATTTGCCATTTGCCGAATTTGGTAAATAAAGTCAGTATAAGATAGTATTACATGCAATCATAAAATTTATATATATATATGATGTACTTACATTGCTACGCCATCTGTTCTGTGCACGTTTAAAATGTATCCGTTATATTTCTTGCATGTATCAAATTGAACGAATGAATCTATTATAAGGTAGAAATTTGCTATACACCGGTATCGTCGTTTCCCCACTTTGTAATGCAGCGCACGAGCACCAAACTGATCCTCCCTGACCGAGATACTTTTAACTGGTGATTCTAGTGTTGGCGGCGTATTCATGATTCAGATCGCTGAAAGAAAGTTGCATATATAAATATTTAACGTATGATAATGTGGATAAGATTTACTGTAATTCAATAAGACTTCGTGATGTAGTATAGTATCTATTTGAATTAACTTACCACGAATAAACAAACTGGCAAAAATGAAAACTTGGTCACTTGCGGATGAAGTATGCTACTTTGGAAATCCTCTCAAAGAAAGACTGGATAAAATTACAAGCTTTTTTATTCCACGTTATACCAGCAGGACACACATGTCTGTCAACATTGGTGATGATCAACCAATAGCGCACGCGGTCTATGGTTTTCGAGAGATCAACGTTTCATCAGCACACGCTTAAAACTTGTAATGAGTGAGCTGACTGAACTTTATGAAATTTCGATTTTCTTTTTCCTTTGATATGTTTCTTCATCGTCAAAAATACTTAAAAAGTATGCATGTTGAGTGAATAATCTATAATTTATATTAACCTATTAATGGTAATGCACTTTAATTCATAAAGAATTAGTTTTTCATATCTCTGATTAGTGATCATGAGACTCAACATTAAAACTAATACATTCATTATTCATTAACCTATACAATACACTGTAGAGCATGCAATTAGTCCTTAATTACTCTTTTCAATTAACAAGTAAATCATTTTCAGTATAGGTAAGGTAATTTTGGTAAAGAAGAATAAAGAAAATAAAAATGACGATTTTTAGCTTCTCATGATCAGTAATCAGAGATATGAAAAACTAATTCTTTATGAATTAAAGTGCATTACCATTAATAGGTTAATATGAATTATAGATTATTCACTCAACATGCGTACTTTTTAAGTATTTTTGACGATTAAGAAACATACCAAAGGAAAAAGAAAATCGAAATTTTATAAAGTTCAGTCCCATGTGTCCATAAGATGTACAGCGTCAAAATCTGGTGTCTCTAGATTAGGCTTGGGCGGTTAACCGGTTTTTCGGTTTTGTTTGGTTTTCTTTTCAAAACCGGTTTTCATTTCCAATAATCGAAAAATTGTTTTTTCTTTTTCATGAGAAGCGCAAATACTAATTTTTGCAAGAAATGCTGTACAGAACCCTCATCCCTCGCGTGTGTGGACAAAGTATTATCTAAAAACATAAGCAGGCAAATCAGCTGGTCACCTAATACGTATCATGTAATGGTTCACACGTTTGTAGCATTTCGTGCATTTCCTCCGGATATGAGAGTGAGTTAGGTCTTTTGAAATCATACCAAGACACTGCATGGTTAAGTTAGAATTCCCCCAAAATCCTACGTTAGAAAATGAATACTTAGCAAAAACGGGTTTTACGGTTTAACCGGTTTTAAGTCGGACGGTTTACCGGTTTTTATTTTAATCAAAACTGCCCAAGCCTACTCTAGATCGTCCGAAATGGCATGTTATACAAGTCTTCTCTACACCTTTTTTCTTTAGGCCCTATGCTATTCGTTAGCCAGGATGGATTATTAATATTAATATGCCGATCAGCTTCAAAAAGAGCTAATCTTGTTATATTAGTCTTTTACTACAATCTTCCAGCGGAACTGTGCTATGTCTTCGTTGCCCGGCAGATTTTTTATTGCCTTGCCAATTGGGGTGTTTTGCATATTGGGGTGGGGGTGCACACACCCCATACCCCTTTAGTTTCGCCCCTGCATTAGCCTAACGCCGAAAGAGTATCCTCTGTATAGTACTATAGTATGGCGAGACTTCAACTGTTGTTTGCAAGGAAAGGTCATCCCTTTTGTATATAAATTATATTAGTATATAATCTTCAGGATTCTATAGAATGTCCTCACACATTGAGAGAGGCTAGATTACAAAATTTTCTGTGGGTGCATGCCCCTGGAACTCTTTTACAGTTTATCACATCTAAGCCGCCTCCTATTTGCCAAGACAAAAATATTTCGTTGCTGCAAGCATATGATCATCAAACTACGCTGTCATAGAAAGTTGTAACAGCAAGTGCTGTCAAGGCCGCCCAGAGAGAGGCCAGGAGGGGGCAATTTGAGTTGGACCCCAGTTAAAGGTTGCCCAGAAAAGAATTACATTGAAATATACATATAGGTATAACTGCCAACAGAATGCAGGATTTGGCCATTTCTCGCACCTGAGATTTCAAAATTTTCCTGGGGAGAATGCCCCCCTTATAATCATAGTGTTAGAAGACGGAATCACGAGGAGTCACAACTCAATTTTCCCCCTGGGCCCCCAAATTTCCCTGGGGGCGCTGTGCAGTGCATGTTGATTTTGGGATCATTTTATATGTCATTTGTAGCCTGTCTTTTGGTTACACATTACTAAAAAGGTGCGTTCAGAAATTTTGCGGGCGTAACTTCTGCTCGGCTAAACTTTGCACAAAAATATGCAGTGATAAAAAATTCTTAAATTAGGTATGGTCAAAGGGAAATTCCAAAGAAATTTGGAGTACAATAAATGAGTTAATGTCCCGAAATCTCAAAATGTTTCCTCTCTTTTAATAAACAAAAAAGTAGACACAAACAACACTGAAATAGCTGAATATTTAAACCATTATTTTGCTGAAATAAGGTCGATCGGCGTGGCAACGCCGACATCTCGTAAAACTTCTCATTGGAAAACTATTCGCTAGACAATGTAACAAATTTTAAATTTTAATGGACATTGAAAAAAACTAGTTTGGGAATTGCTCCACAAAGTACTCAGTCTCAGGTATATGGCAGTTCCTGAATGCGGTATCCAGAAATACAAGCGTTGCGAGCGGGCTACCGGGGATCGTGTTTTTATTTTTTTTGTGAAGCAATGACAATGCATGTATATCACCGAAATAATGTCTTTTATTGTTAAAGCCTAGTTCACACTAGCAATTTTGTCGGCGATTTTGTGTTCCTGCAATCATGTATTTTATTACTATAAGGCACGAAGGCACGGTGGAACGGCAATGCATATCATCAAAATCATCTATTTTATTACTATAAGGCACGGCGGAACGGCAATGCATATCATCAAAATCATCTATTTTATTACTATAAGGCACGAAGGCACGGCGGATCGGCAATGCATATCATCTATTTTATTACTATAAGGCACGAAGGCACGGCGGAAAGGCAATGCATATCATCAAAATCATCTATTTTATTACTGTAAGGCACGAAGGCACGGCGGAACGGCAATGCATATCATCAAAATCATCTATTTTATTACTATAAGGCACAAAGGCACGGCGGAACGGCAATGCATATCATCAAAATCATCTATTTTATTACTATAAGGCACGAAGGCACGGCGGAACGGCAATGCATATCATCAAAATCATCTATTTTATTACTGTAAGGCACGAAGGCACGGCGGAACGGCAATGCATATCATCAAAATCATCTATTTTATTACTATAAGGCACGAAGGCACGGCGGAAAGGCAATGCATATCATCAAAATCATTTATTTTATTACTATAAGGCACGAAGGCACAGCGGAAAGGCAATGCATATCATCAAAATCATCTATTTTATTACTATAAGGCACGAAGGCACAGTGGAACGGCAATGCATATCATCAAAATCATCTATTTTATTACTATAAGGCACGAAGGCACAGTGGAACGGCAATGCATATCATCAAAATCATCTATTAGGGTGTATTTGTCGAGCATTCAATAACAACAACTCAAAGGTTGCAAGGCACGTTAGTACGCGTTCTTTGTGATTTTTTTGTAAACCTGTGGTATATTTTAGGCATGGTATATCAGTATTGCAGCCGTAAATTTGGAGTCCTTTGGATGTCCTAAAGCTGAAAAACTCTTTGACCAAATCATCTGGCTGGAAACCTGTAAAAACCACCTATCAACACTGTCCGAAAGTTGAAACTGGAGTGTAATACCATTAATAACTGAATCGTATCTGAAGTCTAAACCTTTGAAAATGAGTTTTTCACAAAAATTTGAGACTGCTCATGGGTGAATGCTCATCTGCTCATAACGCCTGTTTAACCCGAACTACTGTGTCTGGTTCAATTTTGTGCGATGAGCATGTGCTCATAACTGCTCATGAGCACATGCTCATCTGCTCATGAGGCCCGTTTAGGCCCAATGGCCCGAAGTGCATTCTTCGTTCGTGGAAGCCCAGACACCACAGCAGAGAAATTGGTTAGTTTATGTACACAAATGTATAATTTTTCCTATTTGCATGTTTTTGCCATTTTGATTTCTATCCGGCCAACCCATGTAAAAATGACAAGAAAAGACAGGTATAATTGAAAAGCAATTTATTTTAATGACTCGAAGTTACATGCTGCGTCTATACTTGTATTGTTTTACATGCTAATACTGTTCGAGTACAAGACTTCAATCCTATATTCGACCTATCAGTTGAGTCTAATCATCATTGCATGTCATCATCATTCTCTTCATCAAAATCGTAACGCTTTAAAAGCCTTCTTATAAGAAACATTTAACTCCGAACTACTACGCACAGATTTTGTTAGATTTTCAAAATCATGTCGGGTACAATTTTGTGCGATGAGCACATGCTCATAACTGCTCATGAGCACATGCTCATGCTCATAACTGCTCATGAGCACATGCTCTCTGCTCATAACTGCTCATGAGCACATGCTCATCTGCTCATAAAACTGCAGTGCTGCTCAATAACAAGGCATTTCTACATAAAAATAACAAGAAAAGACAGGTATAATTGAAAAGCAATTTATTTTAATGACTCGAATTTACATGCATGCTGTGTCTATACTGGTATTGTTTTAGATGCTAATACTGTTCGAGTACAAGACTTCAATCCTATATTCGACCTATCAGTTGAGTCTAATCATCATTGCATGTCATCATCATTCTCTTCATCAGAATCGTAACCCTTTAAAAGCCTTCTTATAAGAAACATTTAACTCCGAACTACTACGCACAGATTTTGTTAGATTTTCAAAATCATGTCGGGTACAATTTTGTGCGATGAGCACATGCTCATAACTGCTCATGAGCACATGCTCATGCTCATAACTGCTCATGAGCACATGCTCTCTGCTCATAACTGCTCAAGAGCACATGCTCATAAAACTGCAGTGCTGCTCAATAACAAGGCATTTCTACATAAAAATAACAAGAAAAGACAGGTATAATTGAAAAGCAATTTATTTTAATGACTCGAATTTACATGCATGCTGTGTCTATACTGGTATTGTTTTAGATGCTAATACTGTTCGAATACAAGACTTCAATCCTATATTCGACCTATCAATCGAGTCTAATCATCATTGCATATCATCATCATTCTCTTCATCAAAATCGTAACGCTTTAAAAGCCTTCTTATAAGAAACTTTCTCTTATCAACAGCTACTTCTAGTGCTTCTTCTGGATCAAAATCATCGTTTTCCACAAGCGCATCTTTTGTGTGCATTATCTTCTTATGTAATGGATCTTTCTTTAGTTGTCTCATCCACACGAGACGCTCCATATAAATATTTTCCAGTTCCTTCTGGAGTTTAGGCAGCATATTAGAGAAAGCTTTGTCCTTAGCGGATTGCTCATCTAGACCAGTGTTCATAAGGCTTTCTTTCATTCCCTCTAAAGCTATATTTCTTCTTTGTTTTGCTTCTTCTATCAACGGTATCCAAGGGTCCATTTCCTCTTCAGTTTCTGACTCATCAGTCCTCATCGAAATTTCAGACACATCAGTTGAAGTTGTTGAGACATCGTCTTGGAAATCCCTTTCCTGGCTATCCGAGTCTGTTTGAGACATGTTTCGTTCTTGTGCACGTAGGGGACAGTATTCCTTTTCGTGTCTTCGTAAATTGTAACCACGGCTAAATTGCTTTCTGCAAAATTTGCAGCTCATTCCGTTAGCACTGACTGTGTAAAAATGCTTTGTTATTGAGCAGCACTGCAGTTTTATGAGCAGATGAGCATGTGCTCATGAGCAGTTATGAGCACTCGCTGCACAATAAAGTTTTTCTAAACCACCAAAACTAGCCTTGTGCTTGGGGTTGTAGTAAATTTTGTTCAGAAGCGTTTCCTTCTTCTTTTCCATCAAGTTCTGATTTATATATCACAACTCGACCACCGCAGCAGGTACAAAGACAACGAATGCATTTGAAAATTTCACGCAGTCCTATACTAGGTGTTTGCGGCTGTCCAAAACAATTTCCCATGTTGACATGACAAGCTTGACAGGAGAAATGAGCACGGTGCCGTATTACAATGCGGTTTTGAGACATTCAGTCACTGGTCGAAATGTTGTGCTTTGTGGTACTCGTTGTTTTGTTGAATTTTTTTTTCTGTTTTGACGTGTCCACGAGTATAAAAATGATTAATTGTGCGAACGGTGGTTTCATGCATCTTCCGCGTGGACTAAAAGGTGATGGACGGTATCCGACTTTGATAATGATACACAACCAAAAATTAATACACTAACGGAGAAGGACATGGACGCATTATACCAGTTTAAAGAAGTGGATATGAGGGACAATCCCTTAAACTGTACATTGCTACATGCTTTAGATTATAAAATGACTATATTGAGTGACTGTATTTCCAAGTTTCTTAGTACGAAACCTACAGTTACAAAGTTTAATCACAGTACCGCAAAACACGATTCGGTTTGAGCCGAACTGGACCTTCAACGAACAAAAAATGGAAAAAGGAAGGGAGAAAAATGCTATGGCTGATCGCGATTTTACCGCTTGTGATTGTCCTAGCAGTGTGTGTGTTCCTTATACGGTGCAGGTTTCTACTACAAAGGCAACGAGTCATCCGTCGAAATCCTACAGAACTTTACCCTCTTAGGCATGAAGAAGAAGAAGACAAAGTAATTTTATTTGAACTGAAAGAAAAACGATTATGATTTTTATTTATAGTATTTATACAACATTTCACTCACTAGGTTTATATATATTTAAGTGTTGTGTTCGGCTTAATATAACAATGTTTTAATAGCTTAATTATAGTCTCCTAATAGTCTATCAGTGACAGTTGCTCCATATCCTTCGTTGGTGAGAAAATAGGCAATTGCCCAATATATTTGGCGTAGGCATCGTGTGGATTTTCCCGTGCGCTGGTAAAGGTAAGTCCAGTTTCAGCTACCATGTATGTGTACAGCGCAGGATTACTCTGCAATATACAAACTCTTTCAACGTGAGGAAAATGAACTTGATTGAACGGGGTTTCCAGGTCGAGTTTCCATTAAAAGGGCAACTAAATAAAAGGCGACCTTGGCAATTAAATTTGGGCAACAAAAGAAAAGGCGACCTTGATTTTCTCCTTCCTTTTTGACTTTCCGTACGCAAGCATTCAATCTGTGTCTGCATTTTGGTTTTGCCAACTCGTGTCTGTCAGCAGACTGCCAGAAATTACACGGATTCTCGCGGTCGCAACAAACAAAATACGGCCTTCCAAAGTTCAGTTTACCGACGTCTTTGACGACTTTCATTCTTGCTAGTCTTTGGTGAGTATCACACACCGGATGAATTGATCCATTCGCTCTCCACATTATCATAGCTGTTTCGAACAACAAGCGGTCTTGATCAGGGCAGAAGAATTCACAACTTTTCTGGTTATTTTTGTTGCAAAACCAAAATTTTCCATGTTTTGTAGAAACTGCGGACGCTGGCACTCCATGCAAACACTCCATTGCTGTTTATATGACAGTCACTGTTTGTGTGTGATATTTATCTACAATCCCTCTATTGTACAAAATCAGGCTTGTCCAGTTGTTAAAGCCGTTTTGCACAAACATGTTCAGGCCAAGTCGTCAAAGTACAATGTGTTGTACCATGTACAACAGCTAATGACTTCTTAATGACTTTTTAGGGATTAGTGATATTCAAATTCAGGCTGTTGCTAACGCTTTCTATGTGGCAACCATGAAATTAAGCGCCTTGCCCAAGACTGTTTTATTTCAAAGCTAGCTATATCCACTTGTTTTAAATCCCATACACAGATTCTTACGGCTTCTTGCACAATTTCAGGCTCACAAAAATCACTGACTTTGTAAACTAAAGTCAAGTAAGCCATAATTCTACCAAAATTTGAAGGCTGTAACTCTTGATAGATCACACACAAATTTTCAAGCACGTTCTCTCTTCCAATACAAGCTATCATGCTTTCAAATAAACCTTCATGCTTTTCCAAAAACACTTTTAAATAAAAACTAAAACTATTTTTGCTTAATTTCATGTTATTTTCTTTTAAAACATCACAAATTAACTCTTCAGCCATCTTGAAACAAAATGGCTGCTAATCGGAAAGCCCTCGTTGTTTTATCGTCATCGGAAAATCATCGGAAACAAAATGGCGGCTAATCGGCAAGCCCTCGTTGCTTTATCGTCATCGGAAAATCATCGGAAATATACGTCATCAGTTATGCTAATTAATTTGCATAACTCATGAATTATTAAGGTAACCCTATTAATTATGCACATAGACGGGGTGTATTAAGCCCCTCATATTACTACTTATATATATATATATATATATATATACACATATATATATACACATATACACATATATATATACACATATATATATACACATATACACATATATACATACAGTGAAAATACTAGGTGAATTTCAGATGGACCCAGAGATTCCGATGTTGTCAAAAGCAGAATACACCATTGTGCTGGATTACCTGATGACACAAATCTGCATCAACAATGGCAGTAGATCTGGCCCTATTGCCAACATGATGTTGGAGGAATTTAATGACGCGACAAAACAAGATTGCATTGTCATATGTGTTAAGAAACACAAGACATTTACTATGCATGGACCAGCACACATTGTCTTGTCCTCTTCGCTTTGTGAATGGGGATGCTCTACCAGAAGTTGTTTGTTCATCCCAATCCACCATTTTTTAAAGTTTTACAGGCACAGTACTGGATTCTTCACAAGTCGGTGCCCAAATTGGCTCATGTTGTGGCAAGGTTTTCAGGAAGGAAGCTTCCATGTGTGGGGTATGAGTTCAATGAAGAGATACAGGTGATCTTGCTGACCTCATGGTCCACAACCAGGCGACAGCAACCAAGTACTACTTGTTGAAGAATAAAGGCAAGCAGTGAAATAGAAAAAAGATGAAGAGCAGCAACCACCTAACAAACAGATCCATGTGTCATTTGCCATAGGCGCAGGTGGTCAGTTGATGAAGAAAAGGTTCTACAAGATATTTTTGGTAGCCAAATTGAACAGAAAAAATATCGATAGACGATGTCAGGAATGTTGCAAAAGATCACCCAGTGCTAAAGAACACTGCTCCTTCAAAAATCAGGGACAAGGTCCGAACATATTTTAAAGGCTAGTGAAGGAGTGGCTCGCCTCTGCCACCAGACGAAGAGGAGACTCCTGCAGAAAAAATTAAACATTTTGGTGTACCAGATGCTATGGGTAAGTTATTGTTTATAGAAATAATTATTTTCTCTTACCAACAATTATTGTTTTGTTCTTGTTTCCAGTAATCACTTTATAGTCTGTATTTTACTGTATTTTATTTTATATTGTATTTTTATTATGATTAACTTTAATCACTTTTTTATACAACCGGCCCCAGGCTTTTAGCTATTGAATGACATGTTTTTCATGCCAATTGGAGAACAAAATAGGCAAACTTGTACATGTACGAGAAGGGCCGTAGCTAGATGCAATAATTGTGTTGGGGGTTGTATATTCATATATTCATGTTCACATACTGTAAAAACAGAATATATAATTCCCCCTGCAATTATCGTTCTAGCTACGGCCCTGAGTGCGAGTCCGATAAAAAATTTATTCACAATCGCATATTTTCACCTCATGTGCATAACAACAGAAAAAGCAATTAATCACACAAAGTTGTCATAGCTTACCTAAGATTTATTCCTACTTAATAATAATTATGAATACTGTACTGTATGTGCATAGTTTATTTAAGTGAAATTCATCAACGTAAGTGTCAAAGAGGGTTAATTTTCAATGGTTTTAGACCCAACTCTCAATGGTGAAAATATGCAATTCTGACTAACATTTTGTTATCTGATTAGTATTTTCTCATTTTTTATCCATTTGGCATGAAAAACATATCATTTCAAAAGCCTGATCTTTGTGAATATGAAAAAAATCTGGTTCATATGCAGGGTAATTCAGATACAATGCGTGCTAAAGTTCGGTTACCTTTTTTTATACACTCTGTAAAACTTGCTGTAGGCGGAAAGGTATTACAACTACCTGAAAATAGAATGAGAACTTCGATGTTCCATGTACAGCAAGTTGTGTATGTACGTACACTGGCACTCACCGCTCGATAAATTATATAAAGCAGCTTGTTGCAGCCTGTACCCCTGCCAATGGGTTAAAATAATTTTATTCATGTGGACCTTTACATGCCTGCCTAAAATGGATTTGAAAATTTGGCAAAGAAATTGATATATTAAATTGTTCTGTACTCCAAGACAATTCATTGACGGACATCGAACAGTATGATGAACTAATGGTGCAACACACAGTTGCTGCTTGTTTGCCATGAATGACAATCTCGTTCCCCGAGCACGCCCGTTCTCAGGTTAAGGACTACCCTTAACCTGCGAACAGGCATGCTCAGGGAATAAGATTGTGTGAATAATTGATTTTATGAATATTTGGCAACAGTATGATGTAACATCAAAGTCATTTCTTTCTGACTTTTTGTACTTTGTACCACGTGTAAATATTCAAAGAAAAAATAATTTGATGATCACATTGCATTGCAATTAACATTGTATTGCAATAAATTGTTCTTCATGTGTAGAAAATTAGTATACATAAAGATATAATAATTACTTAAGTTGATATTTCTTAATAAAATTTAGCTTGCGAAGAGAAAGGCAGCAAAGATAGGGAAGAGAAATCATGCACCAACGACAACAATGAAAAAAGCAGTGAAGATGATGAAGAAGAAGGCAGCCAGCACTCATGCTCATCATCATCATCTGGTGTAGTTCATCCATCATCACGTTCCAGAGCTGGACAAGATCGCCTGTTTACTGAGAACGAAATGGCTGAGTTTAGAAAGTTATTTGCTCCACTAATACATTCAGACAAGCCAATCACCACAAAAGTTCCCGTATTGATGTTAAAGAAGAATCAGAAGTTGAAGCACCTTACAAAGAAATTCACTAACCAGCAGATATATGACAAGCTGAGGACGGAGAGAAATTGCTAACAGAGACAAAAACAGAAAGAAATGAATATATAAACTCCTGTATGGGTGAATAGGTGACTTTTGACACATTTGTGTACTGTATATGTTTATTAACAGAATTTCTACTTTCTTCGGAAAAAAATAGACTGACAGTACAAACTCCAGGGCAAACAGCTCAAACATGGGGCATATTTACAACGTATATTTCTACATAACATGGTTCTGTGCCGAAATTGCATTGCACGTTGCAGCAAAAGTTGTTTAAGATTTAGGGAAAAATGTTTATGCATTCGTATTATAAAAATTAAAGCCAGCATAAAATTTTTAAGAGAGGTATATTCAGAGAATGAAGTAATTACAGTCACAATATTGCACAGTTTTAAAACTAAACCTACAAATTAAAATCAAGAAGAAAGAAAGAATATATATACAAATGTGTGTTTTACAACAGTTAATATTAAACTATTTAAGGTGAATATTGAAAGAGGTATTACAATTAACAAATACAATGGGGCAGATCCTACATGTATATTGCCATGCGGTTGGAGTTTTGAGATCATCAACAGCTGATAATCATTAGTTATTTAGTTGTAATGACAATCATCAATTAATAAACATCATTTCATGTCCCACAATGACTTTCAAATAATTATGTCATGCATATAAATACGAAACTGAGTAGTATAGGGAATGAGGGTTCTAGACCACTTTTTCGGCCCGCGATCTCACCCAACTTCCGGTCAGCGGTTTCCATATTTTCCCCCAACCAACGCGGGCTCATATTTTTCTAGACCATTTTTTCTGGTCTTTTTTACCTCATTTTTCTAGACCATTTTATCTGGTCTTTTTTTACCATCATTTTTCTAGACCGCTTTTATTTTGCTTTTAGATCATTTATTTTATTCCTATTAAATTCCCTATTTAACAACTGATTTTTCCTCAAGCATTCTTAGGTGACCGTAACTTTCAGAATTTGGTCTAAAGTCTAAGTCATCCTTTTTATTTTGTGTGCTCACTCCAATGTTAATATTATTTGATACAGAGAAATTTATATCACCAGACTTCCCAGTTCTATTAGAACTCTTACGACAACCACAAATTTTACCTAAGCAGGAGAAGCATGACCTCCACCTTGACATCTTATCTTATGATAAACCACATGTTAGCTACCTGAACCTGAATATCGAAGTGACCAGCAAAAGGACATATCCATGCTAGTACCAATGGGCATTGAGTGTTCAGGTTTAACTATAATACACCAGGCTAGCGTGTTATCTACCAACTCAGCCTGGGCTCCTAAATAGAACATACTATTACCCTTGAAAACGTAGCAAGCTGTACTTCCACCGGTAGTTGTGTAAGTTCCATTAAACCAGGTGTGTGACAGTCTTCTTAAGTCAACCGTGGCAAGAGTGATTTCCTTTTTAACCTGTGTAAATTTTCCATTAGATTGTTTTTCCCAAACAGCTGCCCATAAGATCAAAGCTAGTGGTATATTTTGAACAGTTGAAAAACGTGGGTAGTCTGATTTAATAGTAATTGATTCAAGGTTTAGGTCTGCCATATTGTTAATAGGATCTGTTCTCCATGAAGGTGGAATCTGATCGTGACAGTAAGCGTAGTACCTTGTTGCTGCAACTGAAACACCACGATAACCCCAAATCCATTCTGCATGTATATGTCGCCGTATTCTTACATATCTTAAGTCAGCCGTTGCTTGAGTAAGGCCAGTTGAAGGTTTTAGGAAATTCTTTTCTACCCACTGTTTGTTAACAGCATCCTTATAATTTACAGGATCCTTTAGATCAAGAATTCCACTTGAATCTCCCATATCCAAATCACCTTTTACCAGTCCACCTCTACTACTCATGAACTCATCAGTCGCCCGCTTCTTATTAACAGCTGAACCGTCCATCGTGGGAGTTCCAACCCTAGTTAACTCATAATCGTTAACATCTAAATTGCTAGCTAGAACACCACCATCACGCTTAAGAAACTGTGAGCACCATGAAGTCATGGAACCGTAAGAAACAGCACTGGAAGTTCCTGTTGACCCACTATTTAGCCCCGTAATAGTATTACCAGCCATGTCAATATTACCGCTCATAGTAAAGCCACTACTACTTGCAGAACTTCCACTGACATGATCCGTGACCCATTTCTTAGACACGGCAGAACTATCAGTTGTAGGAGCACCAATATTTATTATTTCATTGCTCGTGAACCGCTAAGTTTTAATAAGTTTGTTGTGTACGTTTTAAGATACTGCAACCTTACAAGACTATTTGAGTTTCCAGGGTCGGAGTTACAGTTAGGTGCATTGCTAAAATTAATAGTGCCACCAACATTTAAAGATCCTGTTCTGTCTAACCGTAGAAATGTTCCTTCATTTAAATTAAACCAGCTTTTTGTAACCACAGATTGATCACTAGTAGGATCCCCAACATTTTCAATTTCGTTTCCTCCCATATCAATATTACCGCTCATAGTAAAGCCACTACTACTTACAGAACTCCCACTGACATGATCCGTGACCCATTTTTTAGACACAGCAGAATTATCAGTTGTAGGAGCACCTAATTTTACAATCTCATTGTTTCCCATATCAAGGTCACCACCTAGGGACCTGCGCTTTTTGCTTCCCCAACCTACATTATCCTGTACCCACTTTTTTGAGACAGCAGATGAACCAGCACTAGGATCCCCAACATTTTTAATTTCATGTCCACCCATCTTAAGATCACCTGTCATTGTAAAACCTGAGTGGTTAGGAAGCGTAGATATTTTATCTTCAACCCACTTTTTTGATGTAGCCTCACTATCAATTTTAGGCTCAATAAGATCAAACAGTCTCCAACCTCCCATGGAAACGTCTGCCTGCATAATTCCACCTTTCTTAACAAAGTTATTATCAACTGCCCCACTTTTTTGTGACAGCAGACTGATCCTCGGAGGGATCCTTAAGATTCTTAATTTCATGGTCCTTCATATCGATATCAGCAGCAATATTAAGTCCAGATACAGGTTTATTTAGCATTCCAACTACCCAATCCTTACTAACAGCAGACTTTCCAGTTGTAGGATCACCTAGAGCCTTTATCTCATTTGTTGACATATTGAGGTCATTTGTAAGGATAAGTCCAGGTAGACTTGCGTGTACATGTCTACGGCTGCCTTCAACCCAGCTCTTACTGGCAGCGTCACCTGGGTTAGTAGGATTATCAAGATTAGTTATCTTATTACCTCCCATGTTAATATCCCCTGTCATTGTAAACCCTGCAGGTTGAATTGTAAGGGCAGCCTGTTTAATGATCTCATCATCCACCCACTTCCTTGTGGTCGCAGAGGTATCATCTGTAGGTGCACCTAGACCTTTCACCTCATTACCATCCATCTCAATGTCACCCTTCATGGTAAATCCATCCTTATCAAACACACTACCGATTGACGGATCAACTTTATTTACTCCTTTGTTGTATCCCTTATAGAGAGCCATTTTATAACATACACAATGTTTACAAGATAATTTTCATTAGAATAAATACAACTATAGCACCAATCCCAGCTCCAGCGATAGCGTTAACTCCTGAAGACTCATGGGTACTAACCACATCATGCTTTACAATGGGAACATCTTGAGTATCAGGAGTTGTAGAACCTTCCTTTGGCTTAGTGACCGTAGAGCCTCCTGGAACCTTTTTATGTCCATCAATAACATCAAGGTGGTGAACTGGTGTAGTGTCCTGGTGCTGTTTCTTTGAATGGCTAGTTTTCTTTTCCCCAACATAGTTTAGTTTGGTATTAACCCCAAATGTAGTTGTCTTTGTAGGACTTGAGAGTATATTATTATATCCAGGAATAGGTGTTTCAAGAATGATTAGCTTAGAAGGAACCAGTATTATGTTAGGATTGATTGCCATATTTAATATTACATTAGTGTCCCTTATAGCTATTCTCATGTTGCTAATTGTAGTGTTTACACTACTTTGAACTATAGTATCTTCAACAATTTTTCTAAAAGCCTCTTGTGATTGAAGGGCCTTACCTGATTGACCGCTAACAATACTCCACCTTGTTCTAGCTTGTGCTCCCAACACAGAATAAACATAACTTTCCACACTTTCCATAAGCAACTGCACTCCAACTTGTGTTATTCCACTTGACTCATATGGTATAAAGTGAAGATAGTCTGAGTCAGTGTAGTTTACCCATCCAACTTTAACATATGTTCCACCTCCTGAAGAGGCACCATTAAAATCCTGAGTTCTAACTGGAAAGTGCCCTTTCATTCCACTTATATCATACTTTTTCATTAGCGCAGGATTTTTCATAAACTTTCTCATTGTATAGTAAAGATGGTATCTAGCTATAGAGGTAATCTGTTTTGGGGTAGAATCATTCCACTCTAGATTTTTAACAGAAATGCCGCATAGGAAAGTTGCAATATACGCGGAACATATTTGAGCAAAATATGGTTCATTCTCGAAGTCCATGCTCACATTGCGTATATCAGTTGGAACACCCTTGGGAAGCTCAACTAAGCCCTTATTGTTCTCATAAAGCACCGCCTTACCTGACCACTCACACCGCTCTATTGGACTAAATTTAGAAAGGAAGTAATCCTGATCAGAAACGTACACCTTAAAATTATGCAGGGGTGATCCTAGATTAACAGCCTTCTGAAAAACTGGATAATGGTGAAGACCCCATACATGATCAGCTTCCCTCAAGTTTGTAAAAGGAGGTAAGTTACCTCCTGAAGCCCAAACCAACGGCCATTCATGTTCAACATTTCTTACACTTGAGTAGTCAGGTACATTACCCCCTGAAGCCCAAACTGATGACCATTTAGTCGGTGTCTTAAGGGAATGAAGTGACTTTACAAATTCAGGATTACTTTTAAATCCATCTGAGGTAATACCATAAGAGGTACTATCATCTACCTTATAATTAGTCTCTACATCGGTAATTCCACCGTTAAGATCTATGTTAACCACGAACTCAAACTTTTCTAGGTTGGCATTCGGGTACTTCTTTATGAAAGCTTTAATTGCATCCTTACGTGCTCTAGTAGATGCTCTTATAACTCTAGGACTCTTTACAAGTTCAAGGTACTTAGCATATGCATCCTCCATCTTAATAACCTAACGTATGTTATTAAGATGAAGTTCACAATTTTACTCCAGAGCTCGCACACTATTATATCACTACAGAATTCAGTTTTAACAAGCAACTATAATTCAGCCTTTGTGAAGAGAGTTTCAGTTTTCTGGGAATATTTCAATATAAGAGAACCAACAACTATTCTCAAGGTTAAAACAGCTGGTGGTGAAACTGACGCGATTGTCAGCAAGGGCTACTATACATTTGATAGTATGAGAAAATTACTTGAGAGACACGGTGTTAAACTAACCTACTTTGCTGAAACGGCATCCTGCCAGATAGAGGCAGTTAAACAGGATATCACAATAGAGACGCGATTACTGACTATGTTAGGTTTTAATAGATTTAATAATCCTATGATCCTACTAAAAGGGAGGAGTTTGACAAGTGATAGCAAAGTTGACTTTAATAATGGTCTACGATACGTAAATATACACTGCAACCTAGTAAGTAACAGTTTTAACGTTAACCCTTGGGGAAGACCCAGCGATGTAATAACAAG